TATTCACTATCCACCTGTCCTTTTCATATGAGTAAGAAGAAGATCCCAGTAAAGAGAATAATGTCCCCAGGGTACAGCAGTCAAGACTGAATGGTTTAAAAAAAAAAAAAAAAAAAACGTGCTGTAGCTACAAGCAATGCTTTTTATACATACTGGCTATCTGTGCAACAACAACAACAACAACAATAACAACCTGGTTTCCTATTCTCACTTGATATTGATTATCTCTCCATCCTCCAGTCCTTGAATTTAAGACTAAATGAGCATAAACATTTTCAGGGTAGATTTATGCAGCTAAAAAAGAAAAGACGTAGTAACAAATCCTATGCTATACATTTTTGTAATCCAGATAATTACATTTACAGAGACAAAATTTTGTTCTTACATTTGTTTAGAAAGTATGATGGGGAAATTTATGCTAAAAAATAAATAAATACGATAGTGTCTAAAATTCCTGATGCTCAAATTCACTGAAGAGGAAAGATGGAATTAATTATAGAAATTGATTTTCACTTTGTACACTCATCTGGTATTTTCCTTTGGGAGTGTGACTTTATTACTATTACAACCATTTCGTTTAGGCATCAGGACAAAGCAACAACATTTTTCTATTTGGGGCATTGCCTTTTTTATATACAAGTATAAATCAGAGAAAGAAGGAGCATTAGGTTTGTTTTCCACCTTAAGTTATTTATTAAAAAAACAATAAAGGAGGGATAAAAATAAAATATAACAAAATAAACTACATTAATAGAACTCTGAATCTCCATGTTTTCCAGTGTGCTAGGTATTGTGAGCTTGGTCATTTATAAACTACTTTTTAAAGCAGAGCTGCTGCCTCTGAGTCATTTATTGATTGCTTCAGCTCCTGATCTTTAAGAGGTTTAAAAGCAGCAGCAGAAAAGAAGGGAACATATTCTGAACAGGCTTGTGCAAAGCAGCCTGTTCTTTCAAATGAAGAACCAATCTTAACAGACAAGCCACTTTGGGTTTTACACAAAGACCTTTCCAAATATTTTGCTGGTTATTTGCAAAACACCATGGAAGCTCCTCTGAACTAATCTGGGGGGAAAATTTCTTTGAATTCGGTAGAATAGATTAATTTCTCTGGAGAATTATAAAATCATGATGCTGCATGCACAGCTGCATACCAAAGGGGCAGAGCTTATGTCATTTTTATTAACAACTCCAGCCCTGTGGATGTCTCTGAGGCCACTTATTTAAGAAGTTAACTTATTGAACTTAATACAACATGCCTATCAAAGGAATGGTTTTTATTTTCAGGATTGTGCAGAAATCTGAAAACATCTGGTCTACTTTAGTTAACAGAAGATGAGATCTGTTCCAAATCCTCTCTGAAGAACGCACAGCCCTATTCTCTGTTTGATTCCAGTAATTATTTTAACAAAACATAACATGTATCCATCAAGGAATCTGGCTGAAGGAACAAATTGGATTGGGAAGAAATTCAGCCTGAGATATTGGCCAAAACATACTGGCTTTCTGTGCAAAAAAATAAATAAATCTCTGTTTCCTATTATCATTTGACATTAATTATCTCTCCATCCGCCAGTCCTTAAATTTAAGACTAAATGGGCATAAACACTTTCAGGGGAGATTTATGTAGCTGAAAAGCTATTTTTTTTAAAAAAACCAACTGTCTTTAATTCAGCCTCGATCCAATGATGCCACTACCATTGCTTTGTTTTCTGTGGCTCCTCACTTGTTTCTTTGCCATTAATCCCACCCTTTAGTAGTATTAATGAAATAAATCAGATAAATCAGTATTTCTCCATTGCTGAATTTGGGCAACTCCAGGAACAACATTGAAGTATAGGGGGGTCTGCACGTAGGCTGACCACTTTTGCTTTAAGCAGCTGAAGAAGAACACCTTCATGGACCCGTCAGAGGACAGTAAGAAAGGACCATCTTTTTGTGTTCCTTTTTGCATCTGCAATTATCAGACAGCTGCCAGCAGTAGCTGAACAGTGGAGGGAAATATTCTGTGCCATACAAAAAAGAGGGGAAACATATCCAAGTACAGGCTGGTCTGTCTGTGATATATTGACAGAATCAGAGATTCCCTTGCTTACAGAAAATCAGCAAAATTATCAGAGGGTTTGTTCCATTGTGGATCAGCAACAGTATTTTGGGCATGTCCTTCTATAGCAGTGGTCTCCAAACTTGGCTGCTTTAAGACTTATAGACTTCAACTCCCAGAATTCCTCAGCCGGCATGGCTGGCTGAGGATTTCTGGGAATTGAAGTCCACATGTCTTAAAGCGGCCAAGTTTGAAGACCCCTGTTCTATAGCCTCTCTTCCTTGCCTGGGCAGGTCATGCAGGAGAGATATGATGAGAGTCACATCTCCCAAAAAAGTTGCTTCTAGTGGTATCCAGGTGGTGGTGCATCTACTCTGCTGTGGGCCCTGCCATCTGGAACATTATTCTTCCAGAAGGCCTTCTCACCAACTTTCAGGATCCTGAGGACAGCCTGAAAGGGGGAGCTATATGAGATTAAACAGAAGTTTGTTCTCATTCGTTTATCTGTTTATTCATTTTTGATGGTTTTAGATTGCTATGTTGTGTTGTATGCCTCTCAGCCACATGTTTGTGAGATGGGTAGCCACTAAATATGCTAGTGTTATGTTATGTGTGTTATGTATATGTGTGGGTAGATATATACTTTCTTTTGAGAGCAGGCAACAGAATTTCATTTTTAATGTGGATCAGCATGCTCATAGTAAAAATGACAATAAAGGTTATCTTATCTATCTTGCCTCACCTTATCTTATATAAATAAATAAATTAAAAGGCCCATTGTCATGTGTTAAAAGAATTATGAATGAAATTGTTACTTTCTGAAGAGTAATACTGGTAGTCTGCATTTGACACTGGCCATTGGGACTGGCAACTCTTTAGCTAAGTGTTGCAGCCATAAAGCGCAACATCAAGTGATTGCTCTGACGGGAATTGCGGCAGTTCCAGTTGCCTTGTTAGGTGAATCTCACTCAGTCGCAGGTCCCACAGTCACATGGTTTGCCTGCCTTATGGAATCTTCTCCCACCAAAAATGAGGTTAGCTATATCTCTTTCAATATTCTGCAAGACCTGGCTTTGCCATCAGGCCTGGGAATCTGAGGGGATTGGGGAGATTCCCTCACTGTGATTAACAGCATCCTCTCCTGTTCATGTGCTTTTTAATAGTTTCCTTAGATTTTAATGATCTATTTTCATATATTGTTGGTTTTCTTTTTAATTAACTGTTGTACCCTGAGCCATGCTTTTGTGAGATGGGTAGCTGTATGATTGATAGGGATAGATAGATAGATAGATAGATAGATAGATAGATAGATAGATAGATAGATTAGATGGAAGTTGTTTTTTGACCTCCTGCTGGCTTCCCCAATGACTTTGTTGGAAACCAGCAGTGAAGGTCACAAATGGCAATCATGTAACCATGTGATGCTGCAACCATCATAATTGCAAGCTGGGTGCCAAGTGCCTGAATCATGATGTGACTCCAGCACCACTGTGATGGCCACAACTCAGAGGAACATTCCCTCATTCAGGGTTATCCTAACTTCAGACAATCACTGAATGAGTGGTTGCTGAATGAGGACCATCTGTGTATTCTTCAAAATATTGAAAATTTGAACCTTGAACATCGGTTTCCAATGAAATAATTTATTTTGTCCCAGTCAATGAAAAACCATTTTTGGCAGATGTTAATTAACTCTTCTATTGCAGGCATTATTTTTTTTTAAAAAAATGCTGCACGTTCTCCTTTGTGTTATGTGCCTGATTGCCATAGCAACCTCTCTACATTTTTAGGAGTTTGATGAATTCTAGAATTGCAAAAAGCTTAATTAGCTCCAAAACATGATTAACAACTGGGAAGGATTCAGGATTGACACTAGTGGAATGCATTTTCACATATTCCTATCACTTCAGATTGAGAATGAAGCTTCTCAGGATTTACCTGGTTACATATTGTAGGTCTATTCTCCTTCTCCCTAGGAGGATTATTTGTGTTACTGATGACTTCCAGAATCAGGCGATTCTATCCATGTGTGACTAAATTGCTACAGAGAATACAGAGTTGTAATGTTTCTATGTATGTTTCCAGATGATAAATAATGAAAAAGAGTCCTACATTCTTAACTGTCAAGGAGCTCTTGCTTTCTTGGGACCTGGTTCAAATGTGTAGTGAAGTTACAATGCCAACTGATATTCACAACGCCTTTTTTTCCCTGAGTAATAATATAATAATATGGTTCTTTCATTTTGCCCCACCCTTTTATGATTCACAAACAATCCCAACTGCACTATTTGTTTAATAATCTAGGACTAGTAACATAATGTAGAAAGAAAAAGAGCACTTTCTGCTCAAATAATGACATAGATATATGTTTATAGATGTACCTCTAGGCCAGTATGGTACATTATGGTCCAAAATCTTCAGTGAAGAGGCTTTAAGCCTGACGTGTAATGATTTAGATTGGTAATAATAATACACATACATACTCATCCACAAACATATATTTATGTCAGTATTTTTTTAACTCCCCAGTCTAGGAATGAAACAGAATGACTGGCCCAAAGTCACCCAAGTAGTTTCTATTTGAAAGGGAGAACTCAAAATGTTTGCCTTCTTCTAGTCCAGCACCGTACTACTTATCATGTATACATCTTGGGCAGGAAAAAACTATTCTAAACATCTACTCATTTGGAAATTAATTAAATACCTCTATTAGTAATTATAAAATTTCTTCTTTACAGTGTTACATATTTTTTTCTGATAAATTTCCTGACACTTTTTTAATCAACTAACTATATGATCATGAGTATCTTCGTGATGTTTTACTCTCAATGGTGCGGATCCTGAGGAATCTAAAAAAAGACAGCGTATTTAGGCAGATTTATGCAGTTCATTGGTACTTGTCAAAAGATTTATTGTGTGCATAAAACAAGTATGTCTGGTGATGTCTTTTGTTACTCACCAAGTACAAAAATTATGTTTGATTTCTTCAGGTCTTCTGTAAAACCTAAATTAAAATGAAAATAGTTTTAAACAATAGTAGTAAGCAAAACATGCATCATTTTGTAAAATCTTTCACATTGGTTCTCAACCTATGGTCCATGGACTCCTGGGGGACCTCAATTTCATCAGAGGGGGTCTGCAAAGGCTTGAAGAAATATTATAATTTAAACCTTGAGTTATGTCTTGGTGGTCCATGGTCCATGATATTTAAAGAGGTCTGTGGTGAAGAAAAGATTGAAAACCACTGATCTATCACGTTAAACTTACAATACGATCCTGTGTGTCTCTCCAAGGAAAAAAATACTGAAATTTGTGTTCACTGAAATTTGTGGAGTACTTGGTGCTCTCTGAGCTTGGTTGTTTTCTTACAGATTTTTCATTAGCCAACTAAGTAACATCATCGGTGTAAATGTAGGGTTCACTCCCTGTCTATATACAGTAGCTTGCCCTGCCAGTTTTGGTGGGAATGTGAGTTTGTTCTTGGGAGTTCTTTGATTAAGATGTTGTTTTCTGCTTAACTGTTTGCTTCTTAAACAGCTCCTCTTATTGGGTTGGGTTGTTACTTTGATAATGGAGCACTTGGTTAATGTTGGTTGTTTTTCAAAAGATTTGTGTTTCTAATTTGCCTCTGAATAAGAACATTATTCAGAACAGTACAAATCACTGCAGCAACCCAGAACACAAGAAAAAGAAAACAAGCTGTCTATACAACATCTTCCAATGAAATGGATATCCACGCAACTTTATGAAAAAGTGCTTGACTACTCAATCCACTATAGCACAACCAAAACAAGCTATGAAAAAGTTAACACAATCATTTATTAAAAACATATCAGAAACAACCAATAGACTATTACAACCAGACAACATCATCATTGCAAACAAACCAACTAAAGTCCTCCACCCAATCTTAACCAAAAGACTCAGTAACCTTAGAAGAAAAAACAGGAGTCATCTAAAACATACAGTGTTGTCTGTAAAAACCACTATGTAGGACAAATGGGTAGAAGACTAGTACAGCATATCTGTGAACCCCAACTAGCAATCAGAAGACATGATTTATCCCCTTGATCTCAAAGAAACACGACTAAACTCCTTGAATTAAGTGCATGGACATACTCAACCACAGTTTCAATGGGAAGAATCAACAATCAAGTAGAAAACAATACCTTATTCAAGGAACTACCAAGGAAAAAACCACAATCCCACCAAAACTGTCAAGGCAAGTTACTGTACATAAGCAGGGAGCAAACCCCATAGTTACTCACACTGAGGATGTTACTTAGTTGGGTAATGAAAAGTCTACAAACAAACAAACAAGCTCAGAGAGCATTAATGACTCCCTAGTTCAACCATGAGCTACATATATTCTTTTCTATAGGAATCACGGAAATTTACTCTCAAATACAGATTGCAGTCTATTTTTTTCTTAAAATATGTTTATATTTTCAAATGGATCATTCTTACCTTACAACAGCAACTTATAAGCAATCTAATTGCTCATTGCTGTTACAGTTCCTTATAGCCATGGTTCAAAATATTTAATGCAAGATACCTGGAAGAATATTTTATGCTACCCTTGTTAAAAATTTCATTTAATTTTGTCAAAGTTATGTATGCCATTTTCTTTTGTAAGCTTCAACTTCAGCCTGAAATCTTTTCCATCACTCCATACTTGTAACCTGAACACCAAACAATTGCAGTGATTTCTTTTCTTGAACAGTATCTCATTTCTTGCTCAAGGACAACTAGAGTTAATTGCTGCTTAGTTGGGAGCGTGTCTTACTGAATGAAAGCCTACAGATGATGAAGGACTTACAATATTATCATTGTTCAACACAATGAATGTTGCTTCATTCATAAAATCTGAAGAACAATCTGTCAGTCATCATTCAATACATTTTTGAACATTTCATTATCAGAAGTACTGGGTTTTGAACCTCTTGAATGTGGCTATTTTGAACTTTGTAAGTACTGGATTAATAAAAGGCCGCTATTATACTTCCATTCTTGTACTAAAGCAGTGGTTCTCAACCTGTGGGTCGGGACCCCATTTGGGGTTGAACGACCATTTCACGGGGGTCGCCAAACAACGCAGTCCGCCATTTTTTCCCCCTTTTCTTTAGCTGTGCTACTCCCTTTTATTCTATTGGCTTTTGAAAGCCAATAGAATAGACTCTCTTGAATAGAGTCTAATTCTATTGACTTTCAAAAGCCAATAGGAATTGTCCAGGCTGTCTCTGCCCTGCTGAGCCCGTCAAAAGTCCCATTCTGCAAACGGTGCTGCACCAGTTGAGTAATCCTTGACTTACGACCGGTTGAGTAGTCCTCGACTTACAACCGGTTGGGGGTCGTGGCATTAAAAAGGTTGAGAACCACTGTATTAAGGATAACAGCTGCTCTATGGCCACTTTATTCCATATAATATGAACAATCCTAGGACATCTGCAAGGATACCCATTGGTATTTCCAACTTCTTTGGACAGTGGGGTATTGCAGATCTGATCAAAAATTGCAATATAGACCACCCTGAATCTCCAAATGAAAAAAATCCAATGTTCAGCCACTCTATGAGAACAGTTATCCCAAATTAAAATATTTTTTTATTATTATTTTTATCATTATCATATAGGATTGCCAAAACTGAAACATTTTGATTTCTGAATATGACAGCTTTCCAGTTCTGATGATGTTTGGGATCCTTTGTTAAACATTCTGAATTTCTCATGACACCATGAGGAACATTTCAATGGATTTCTGTATCATAATTGCAATGTAAAAACCTAATACTGCTACACAGGCCAGTGCATATATTTATCCTACAAATTTCTTATGAGACTAGCAAACTTGATTAACACCTTAGAAACACTGTTACATACAGTATCTGTTCAAGAAGTTAGCAGTTACTCTTACAAATAAATCGTTGGAGAAGATGATATATACTTCATTTCTGTGGGCACATTGGTATTCATGGGATCCTAAATTCAGTTGCATGCGGTTTCACATATATCAGGGCTTGAACACTTGAAACTAATTCACATGAGTACTGCTCTTTGATATTAATTAAGACAAGCCATCTTTTTCCGTTGTCTTTCAGAGTACCATTATAAACTGAATCCTTAAAACAGCAGCATCTTTTTTTCAGGCTCAAGCTAAAGTCTGAAAAAAGGATGCTGTTGCTTTAACGAACAGCCAAGAGGGAATTTGCTAGTGCAAACATGCTTTAAAAATAAAGCATGCATGGTCCCAACACATAAATTAAGAGGATTCAGTTATTATATATTACAATAACTTATACTAAAATGATAAAAAAAAACTCACCTGCACTTTCAGGCCTGCAAACACATGACTGTTCATATGCCTGTTATATTAGAAATTGATATGGAAAAAAATAGCTTTATCATTAATCAATCTAATAATATGAAAACAGATTTGTCCATAATTCTAACTCCATAGGACTGCTCATAAGGATAGGCTTTTTGGTTCTTCTTCATCAACCACAATAGTACACCTTATAATTAAACTAATCTGGGTCATGTTTATACTTTTAGTACTGAGTGTACAGTATGTTTCATGTTAGAAATTTCAACACTCCTTTTTAAATGCACCTGACTTATGCTGAGGAACCAATATATACAATGTTAAGGTTTTAAGATACAGGAAGTGCTATTTTCTAGGTCACTTAGAATATGAGGAACAATAAAGCACGCACTGTATCAGACAGTTGTGGAATTTTCTGAATTGGTATTGACTTACATAAACACGAGCAGTTAAGAGAACTGAAAATCATGGACTAATTTCAGCTCTAGACCTAAGAAACTGAGAACTAGAGTTAATCTAGACTTTCTCTTCTTGACAATCAATTTACAATTTACTAAAAACAATTTAGTTAAAAACAACAGAGTTTTCAAAAGTAGAGAAGAAAATTACATTGGAAATGTCCAGATTACATCAAAATATGCAATCTATAAAAGTTAAGGCATCCATTCAGATACATGACTTTAAGAAGCTACTGATAAACCCAGCATGAAAACTTGATGACGAAGCAGATAAAACTAGCACATTAATTTTTACAGAGTTTCTTAGTTCAGCAAAACAATGTTCGTGTTTAATTTTCAAAATTTTAGAATTTATTTCAAAACAATGATTTTTTTTAAAAAGGAGTCCTACCTTAAAAATAATTGTAAAAAAACAATTATCCAATGACACCATGTAATAAATTATTTTGGGAATTATGGAAGTGAAACCCATCAGATAGGAAATTTCTTAATGTGAGAGAGTTTTTTGCTGAAGACATTCATCCACATTTCATTTTAAGCACACCATTCTCTTGAAAGACAAATGTTTTTAACTACATTAAGCATAAGAGAAGGAGGCAAAAGCCCAAGCAGTAATGCTAGAGGCTTGCACAATGCTGATTTACTCTTGTAGTTGCATTCGGGATGGAATGTTGTGAGGGAAGGCACCTCTAACTGGACCAATGAACATACATATTGCTGAACCACATAAGACCCCAGACTTAACAACTGTTGATGTGAAAGACAACTCTGTACCCCAATTGGTTCTGCTATCAAACAACTGGACCACTTTACCATGCATGACCATGATAATATGAAGAAATACTTTCTGAGCAGTATACAAAATTGGAAGGGACTTTGGAGGTCTTCTTGTCCAACTTTCTGCCCAAGCAGGAGATCCTATACCATTCTGGCTGTCCAATCTCTTCTTAAAAACCTCCAGTGATGAAGCACCCACAGCTTCTGAAGAGAAGCCATTCCACTGATTGTTTTCATAGTCCGGAAATTTCTTCTTAGTTCTAGGTTGGATCTCTCCTTGATAAGTTTCCATTCATTACTTCTTGTCCTGCCCTCAATTGCTTTGGAGACTAAATTGTTCCCCTCTTCTCTGTAACACTCTCCCAAATATCAGAAGACTGCTATTATATCACCCCGGTCCTTCTCCTTGCTAGATTAGACACATCCAGTTCCTGCAACTGTTCTTCATATGTTTACCTTCCAGACTCTTAATCATCTTTGTCGTTCTTCTCTGCACTCTTTCAAGAGTCTCAACATCATTTTTATATCACGGTGACCAGAACTGGATGCAGTATTCCAAATGCAGTCTCACCAAGGCAGAATAAAAGAGGTACTAACACTTCACACGATCTTGATGCTATCCCTCGGTTAATGCAGACTAGGACTGCATTAGCCTTTTTGGCATCTGAAGCACACTGCAGGCTCATACTTAAGAAATTGTCCTTTTGGACTCCTAGATCCCTCTCACAGTTACTGCTGCTGAGCCAGGTATCACCTATTCTATACCTGTGCATTTGATTTTTCTTGCCTAGGTGTAAAACCTTACTTTTCTCACCACGGAATTGCTTTCTCTGAAATGTATGTTCTCTTCTCTTTAACTCTACTTCCACCCATGGTTCTCCCTTCACTTGGTATCTTCCCTTCCATTAGTGTGCACTTGCATGCTAAAGCAGAATAAAAGAGTTGATAAGTTTTAATCACCTATCTAAATCTATTCTAAATCTACACTCTTCTGATTCATTGCTTCTTGCAATTGTTTCTTCCCTGTTACACAAAAAATATAATACTAAACAATACTATAATGTATCTCAGAGGCACATACACATCAGAAACCAGATAATCACTTTTCCTCTTTCTCTTTCCCTCTTCTTTAAGTTGCCATCATGTGACTTCTTTCTCAGTTTTTGCCATTTTATCTACTACTTGTTCATTTTTCTGGCTTGCCAATATTACCTTGGGTAACAAGGCTAAACAGATACATAACCTTTAAAGAGTAAATAAAAATCCAAATTTAACTATCACTAATATCTGGGATTTTAGAAGTCATATAGACCAGCAATTCCCAATCTTTGAGACTTGGCGGCCTGGCTGGGGAGGGAGAGGGGAACCGCCACTTGCGCAAGTCAAGCTGCGTGCATGTGCACACCCACTGGCCCACTGCTCATGCAGCCCAGTTGTGAATAGGCCACATGACCCAGTGGTAAGCTGTCGCCCAGAGGCTGGGCATCCCTAATATAGACAAGCACTTGCCACGTAACATCCCAGATTTAAGAACTGTTAATATGAAAGACAAAAAAAAAATCTGGATATTGAAAGTTGCAGTACCTGAAGACAGCAGAATAGAAGAGAAAGAACTGGAGAAAATAACAAAATACAAAGATTTGCAGATAGACATAGAACACATGAGGTAAAACAAAGGAAAGATGGAGGCTTTGAAATCAAAGAATTACACAATTTGAAGGGCGTCATCTGTGTCAGATGATTAATGAGTGCCTTTTTCACACTATTTAGATAATTTTGACTATCTGAAAATGATAATGTCTTCTCTTGCCACATAACTGTCTACTTTATCTTTTAAAGTGGAGACATCTGGGAGGGATGGACAGATAGAACACCCTTATAGCAAAAGAATAAAATGAGCCACCCACATAATTTGCTAATCTTTTCCTGTTGTCTGCTACCCCTTCTGTGTTCTTCACGTTTTTCTTATCTACAACTGTTTGGGTTTTTTAAAAAAAAATTTAATTTTTCAATATGCTTGGTTTCTACTCAAGACCTAACGTGATAGATCATACAAAAGATCAGCTTTGGCACAGCAACCTCCTTGTCACAGTAATTATTCAGAGGTCAATCTGCAGCGAAATGGTTTTCTTTGTGACTTTTCTATCATTTTTGCAATAACAGGAATGTTACGAAGAAGATCGCGCCATGACATTATCACTGCCAGAAAGAGTAAAAAATAACATATGAACTGTGTCAGAGGGTCAACTGCTAGAACCAGGCTATTCAATTCACCTTCCTCCAACTCTTGGCTAGGTGCCATTGTCTCCATCCATGAAAACGGTGTTGGGTTTTGTCACAGTTGCAGCTTCTGTTTTGTTTCTCCTCCTTATCTGGGTTAAGATAAAAATAGCATTGGCAACATTGCCAAGAAAAGGACAATATGCAATTGTGCTGACCTGAATCTGAAGATGAAACTGTGTAGGCTTCTATTTTGTGCTCAGGTTACAACAGCTATGCTCAGTGGTAGGATTCAGCCAGTTCGCACCAGTTTGGCAGAACCGGTAGCTAATTTTTTGTTGCCCAGGCCCAGAATAAACTTCCGGAAGCGGCATCCACACAGAGAACCAGTTGTTCACATATTTGAATCCCACCACTGGCTATGCTACCTTTTCTCCACACTATCTATACTGCTTGGATGGGAGACTTCTGGCTTTGCCTGCGGGAACTAATGGGCCGAAGGCCCAAATATGAATTTAAAACCAACAAGAGATTTCTAAAAGAAAAGGTGGCACATGCTTAGGTTTGTTCTGTGTTTCCTTTTTACAATAATTTCTCTACTACCCAAGAAATTTCTAAAAAGTAACGCGATGATGATGATAATAATAACAAGAAACTCTTTTAAGAGCCAGGAAACATAAAAAATAATTGTGGAATGATGCTGAAGAGTTTTTCTGATCCTTCAAATTTTCCACTAGGATTTACATAAAGATTATATGGGGGAAATGGAAGGTGTGTGGTGGTAAAGAAAGATTCCACCACTAAGTACAGGTAGTTCTCACTTTACGACTCAGTTAGCTATGTCCGTAGCTAAGCAAGACAACTGTTAAGTGAGTTTTGCCCCTCTTTATGACCTTTCTTGCCACAGTTGTTAAATTAGTAACATGAGTTGTTAAGTGAATCTGGTTTCCCCACTGATTTTGCTTGTCAGAAAGTTAAAAAAGGTGACCACATAACCTCATAAATATAGGCCAGTTGCCACATTTTGATCACATGACCATGGGGATGCTGCAACGGTCATAATTGTGAAAAATGGTCATAGGCCACTTTTTTCAGTTCCATTGTAACTCTGAATGTCATTAAATGAATGGTTGTAATTTGAGGATTACCTGTATCATGAACATGGATTTTTCTTCATCAACTCCAACATATTATCCTTAATTATTTACCAATTATTTTAATAGCATTTTTTGATGATTATCATTGTTCTTTGCATGCATATAATGTGCTACTTATGAAAACATATATTTTTGTCTCGGAGTAAACACGTTTGCCCATCCTTGGTGGATTATTCTTGATTTCACACCAATTTGGCACATTAGCATTCCTGATTGACAGCCAAGCTGGTTTTCTTCCAGCTCTGTCTCAAGCAGCAAAATTTTCATTTTCTCATTTGAACTACATCAACTTCACAGAAGCAGCAGATGGGGTGTTGGAAACCTGAATTTGGTTTTTTATGGTGGTTTTTTTTTTAGTTTGGGTTTTGCAAATTATCATCTATGTAATATTACCAGGTGAATAGAAATCTCCAGGACTGAACTGGACT